TATGGGCAAACATTAATATAGTTTGCTTACTGTTCAGCAGTCTTGATTATTAATCAGGATCTTAATATATATTTTGTCAATATATTTGTGACACTTAAGTCTGCATTCTCCATGTTTTTTTTTTACCTCTGGAAACGTTGGTGAATGTTTTCTTTATTCAGTTTTAATGTCCCACTTCTCCGTGATTCTTCCACTTATTCTTTGCTATGGTGGCTGCGTAAGAGGCAGTTTCCTAATGTTTCTCTGAGACGAGTATTGTAATACATGTTTGTGAGCAGTGAAAAGATGAGTCACAGCAGTAATGCCCTTTACATTAAATCTCTCAGGAAAGCTCTTGACTTTCCATTCAGCTTGGGGGCTTTTCTGGCTTGAATATTCCACAGATTGACCTCTTTTTAAAAAAGTATGGGTTGTGGCTAAGGTATCCTTGGTTTGATGAAATGAAATGTTTTAATCTTTGTAGTTCGTAGCTCTGGTAAAATGTAGTTAATTTTCTAAATCTTTACATATTGCATTACTTAATATATATAACATTATATTTTAATGTTACCGTACATGTCATGTAAAAAGAATACTGTATATTTGAATCAAGTAAGGGCATAAAGCATTCAGAGATCCGCATTGATGTCATGTTTTCCTTAATTGGGTAATTAATTCAGTAGTCTCTTCCCATACAGAACACATCCTCTATACTTCCCTTGCTGTATATTAAAAACTTTCAAGTAATTACACAATTTGTTTTAAATTAAACATCTATATTATTTGTGTCACAAAAAGAGGGATTTCAGTAAATTTTCACACTTATGTCTTATGTGATTCATATAAGATAAAGGAACCTTTATAATCTGTTGAATTTTTAATCAAATGAAAATAGAAGAAAAGGATTTACATTGAACAAAGATGTATCGATTATATGCAAAGCTAAAGAACAGGGAGTAATTCATGTGTGTTTTAACAATATTACTTTCATATTAAGCATGATAAATATAACTGAGACCTATATATATATTATATGATTTGATTTTTATGTCCCTGGGTGGACCTGATAATGTCAGTAAATTGGTGACCATGGATTGTGAAGGTAAAGAGAGATCTCCCGATCCCCAAATAATTTAAATCACTATTTCATGCAATTTTAATTTAATTTGCAGGGTGGCAGAATTTGGATAGTGCTAAATAAGAATTGGATAGACAGATCTCACAGTTACAGATCTTCCAAGATTTGACTGTAACAATACAGAGTGTTTTTCTTGTGATAAATCCTGGTAATACAAGCAAAATATTTAAAAAGTGTTTTGTCTTTTTAATATGTATTGTAAACTGTGTAATATGTACGTCAAATGCAATATTAATCTGAAATATTAATTTAAGTTAAAGTCACAGTTAAAGTCAGCAATATTCTCAACAGGATGCACATTTCTGTGTATAGCTACACTACAGATTAAGCATGACTATTAACTTACCTTTTCTAATGACTTTTTAATAATTATGTTTAATACATGAAGGGACAGTTATGTGCAACTAAACTGAATTCTGATAGTTAAATTATTACATCTTAATATAATACCAATCAAATGCAGTACATTACATATAATACTAAAACCATATACTGAACATTTTGGAATATGATCAATTATACAGCACAAAGGCCTGGTTTCAATGAGCTATTGTAATGTTTAAATGAAAAAGGTCTTGCAAACAAAAATCTGCAGAGTTTATTGTTTTTTTATCTATTACCACTATTTATAAAAACTTCCATTTCAGCTTCACTTGTTATAAACCAAGAGCATGGCTTCTCAACCTTTTTAAGTCTTACCTTAAAAATGTGTCACAATGGTTGGGATTCACATAAAAAACAAAAACTTCAGGAGAAAGAAGTTAGTTACACAGTTACACAGACTATTTTGAATAAAATGTAATACGTAGCTGCTGGTTGGTTACTAATTACATTAATAATATTACATTTACAGTAAATACAATGTTTATATATACAATGCTTACCCCCAGTAAGATACTAGGGGGTTGCTTCTGGAAAATAGTCACATCAAGACAGGTGAAACAGGTGAAAGTCTGACGCAGGGAGAAGCATTCAGAGTTGTTTGCATCTACTGTATTCCATCTCTACATTAACGGTTACAGATGAAGCCCTGACTCACACAAGTACAGTATGTGGTAGCGAAAAGCAACAGAAATGTAATGCCTGCTGTGAGGGATAGGAATGTTCAATGGCTGCCAAACTCCAAAATGAATCAAGGTCAAGTTATATGAACTGAAACTTCAGGCTGCTGTCAGCTGATAGTTCCATCATCTGGGTTTCCAACATAGTGGAAAATGCAAGGTCCATAGCCGCAAGATCCACTGGGAATCCGAAACCCAAAGATTTTCATCCTGGGAGTCTTCTGGGAAATATTCTAAGATTTTATTTTACAGTTGAATTAAAGGCTGGGGCTAAGCTTTAGTGTCTTTAAAGTAGGGAAATTCTTCCAAAATCTAACTTTAAGTTAAGTTGTGTGTGTTATAGTGTGAGTTGCTTCATGAATTCCTAAAGTTTGTCAGACATCAGTCATACAGTGCAGATTCTTTTTGAACTAAAATATTTAGCGGTTCCAGCAGGTCATATATGTCTGATAAATAGGTATTGCACAAAGTTCAACATCAAGGTAAAATTTTGCCAAATTGGACATTTTCTCTTCAAAAATGGCACACACTGTTTTTGTTCATAGAGGCAATTCAGCGCCTTCCTTCTTGAAAGTCTTCTTTCTTACTGATGCAAATTTCTTTCAGTTACAAATGCTTTGAGTCCATACTCTCACACAAAGCAGCGACATATCATGTAATTGACCTGCTTAATTACAGTATCCAAGACTTCATATCATTCTTGTGACATTTTTTACTGCCAGTCTTTCTTAATGTGAAAAACATTACACACTGTATACTACCCCTGTGGGTGGTCTTTTTATTGAATATGTTTCATGTCACCTCTAGTTTCCCAGTCATGGATTCACCACTTTCTGTGCACACCCAGATGTAATTTTTCACTTGTCAGCCATCACTCTGGTGGAGAGCTAAACTCTTAAAATAAGTAAAAAACAGAATTAGTGGACATCAGTAGATTCATCCAGCTTTAGCCCAAAATATGTGTTTTCTTTATTTTTTTTCAGAAGCTGGATTTCAAACTTTAACTCATAAGCACTCAATTTTGGGCTGTATATGCTGTTTACATGCTTCACTGTAGAACCCTCACTTCCATCATTGTTTTTCCCTTTAAGAAACAGTTCATCTTAAAATATTTACCAGATAAATGTAGCTTCATTTTTCTTCTGCTCTCTAAAAATTCAAAGCAATTTTTTTTCAGTAGTTTTTTTCAATATAGTTTTTCAGTAGAATATATTCAGTAGTTTGGGTATAATTAATTCTGCAATTATTGTTATTCTTTGGCAGGCAAGCATTTAATTTAAATATCCTCTCTTACCATGAATTGCAAATAAGTCTGATGAATGCTGCTGGGATAGTACTCTGACAGCAGGATGTGCTGGCTCTTTAACACAAATGAGGACATCGTGAATTGTGGGGAATCAATGGCTTTCAGTCTATGGCTCCAAAAGGGAGTAATGTCTGCACTTGGGCACAAACTGGAGGTCACTTCTTATAAGACTACAGCTGGAGTGATCCACCAATGAAGAACAAGCTATATGGGGAAATGCCACTACACCTGATGACATTAAGTCCAACAACCACCTGTTATGATGCAACTTCAAAAGTCTCCACACAGAAGGTTTGGATGCGCTGTAAAACCCTGACAACTTGACAACTATCATGTGACTGTGATGACCACTGTCTGAACTGCAAATGAAGTGTATTTGACAGTAACTGGCAGGCTGAGAGACAGTACCTAAACAATGTTTCCGCCCAGCACTCTGCAACAAGAGTAGTTTTGTGATGAACGCCGTATTGGAATTTTCTTTGGGTGCAGAAGTTGTGTTTCTTATCTTCTCTTTTCAGCACTGAATAAACCTTTACTTGTTCCTTTGCAGCCTACGCATGCTGACGCAGTTACTGTACCTACAGTACAGTACTTGAACTATTGGAAGTTTGACTGTGATCACCAAATATAATTTTGTTGAAACCACTGTATATTACCAAAATATTCAGTGTAGCAACTACAAAATGTGCGACTCCCTCTTATCTTGTGGCTTTTTTCCCCAATTCCTGAGAATAAGTATACTTTCCATTGGATAAGCCTTCTTCAAAGTGAGGCTAAGCAGAACTCTTCTGTTTTCCTGCACCAAACGGACATCCTCTGGGACAAAGCCAGCAGACAAAGATTGGAGTGACTGGATCTAGCATTCTTCTTCACACAGGGCTTTTAAAAGTCTCATGTGTCTGTTCAAGCATTCTTAATTTGGATACATTTGATGTTCACATTTACAACAATTTATAATTAAGTTATTATTATTCCAAACTCGTTTAAGTTTGATAAAAATTAATTCAGGAAAGTAATTGAATATTTATTTGTCTTTCAAGAGTGTAGGAATGTTGATGTGTTCGAATGAGACTGATTATTTGTGAGGTTGACTAAACTAACGCAACAATTATAATCAATATATTTTATTTTTGTTTTTCTGATTATGTTTTGTAATTTCTGGATGGTTGTTCAGCCATTTGTATCATGGCACTTTGATTCATTAACATGTTTACTGTTGTTTTAGTTTATTTTGCACTTTTTCTCCATCTGTCCATCCATTTTCTAACCCAGGGCCCCAGCACTACAAAGAGAGAATACTAGCCACCATGCTGCCTGCACATTTTGTTACTGTATTAAAAAAATGTGTATTGTGTTTTTGGAATCTGTGTGCTGTTTGTTTTGATTGATTGTTTCTTAGTTTACTGTCTCAATTTCTAATAGTTGTTATAAATTCAAACTATAAAATCATTACAGCACATCTGACTTTTTGTTTAATAGAGATTCTAACATTTTTTGTTTTTGTTTTGTTTTGCAGGTATGATGTTGATTCAAAGAGTACAAACTTGTCAAAACATGTAAGTTCCCCTTATTTGCTTATTTTTTGTACCATCAACATTGTAAAATAGAATTTCTGTAATATATCCTTTCATGTGCTTGTATAATATTTAACGGATTTATTCTACAGTGTAGTTTGGTTTCACATAACTGAAGTTTATGATTAAATACTGTCATTTTTTTTGCAGTCATAGAGACAGCTGAACACGTAATTCTAAAGGAATCTTAATGTAATAATCAAGAAAAAACACCAACCATATTTAATTTATTTAAATTTGGGGAATTAATGTGGTATTCCACAACTCTCTTAACATGCTTGCTACAAATAAAGGTGTCTAAGTAATTGTTTTTTTATGGTACCTATCTTGCAAAAGTGTAAAAAAAGCTTGATGGTATTTTTTTAGGTCCAGCACACTAACATAATTATTCCTGAAATGTCAAATTTTCTCTGTAATGGTAGGAGCCTCGAGTTCTTAGATTTTATTCCTTAATTGTCTAGTTTTGAGAATTTAAAAATTTAAAAATTGATCTATTACAGTATTTGTGTTTTTGCTCAGTGTTGCACAGGACTTTTCTGATCCAAACAGAAGTGGCCTGTTGTGAGATCTGTGCCCCCTGTTTCCTAGTATAAATTCCCAACTACGTTAAGCAAATGTCATCCCAATTTAGTGTAACCATGGTTAAAATGCTACACATTCTGCATGCACAAGTCCTATTTGTTCCAGAAAGTCGCTACAATATCTACATATTGGCTAAAATGTCAATTAAAAATTGTCTCTAAATTAGTAGATACAATTAATTTTCAAACTACTTGATATTTCTGAATGCCTATAACCTTCACATTGCAGCAATGGTAAACAGCATCCTTTTTCAGTATTTACCATCTGAGTCTCATCAAACAACTGCTGAGTTTATAACAAGAATGATGGAAAAGAATCAAACTCAATGCAGATGTCATACAATATGTGTCTATATATTTACATACATATATGTACATATGTGTCTGCACACTACTGTACATGTCAACCACAGCAATGGAAAGATACTCAATTGTGTAGCTCCATACTTCAGCTTTAGAGAATACTAAACACTGAAGAACTCTAAGAATTTCAGTCTGAGTAAAACAGCATTTTCACAACAAGTAACCTTGTTCACATCCTTGTGAATTCAATTGCAATTACATAGAATTATAAAGGAATGAATGAAATTAAACACTCCCATGGGCTCAATATTCCACTTTATTGCTCACTAATCAAAGGGTTAGTTCTCAAAACACACTCTACAATGGGGTGTTTAAACAAGAGGATGCCATAGTTATAAATATCATAATTGTGATTTGAAAATGTTTTACCTAAGCTACATGGTAGTTATAAAAAACCATACCTACAAATAACATTGATGTAAAAATAGAATCTTTACAATTTAAAGACATCAGTTTGCTAAAAGAAACGGTGGTAGAAACACCAGTATTTGTGGTAGAAAAGAAACCAATGTCCAAAAGAAAAAGCAAAATATAGGAGACATTTGTCTGGCCATAAGGACCACAAAGCTGGTATCTCCATGATATACCACAGTGATACTGCACAGGTGATCACCATGGGAATAGCAGATTGGTAATTTGATTAATACTGGTAAATAATAGTCTAAAAGTTAATATTTATGCATTAATTACTTGTGATTTGTGGGAATTGAGTATGGTCTTTTAATTAATATACTCTATATAAATTACTTATAAAATCTAACAATTCATGGTTTTACATTTCAGTTTTATACTGTAGAATCAAATCATGAAACACATAATCTACTGTATGTGCTCAATTATTAATACATTGCCCATTGTAATTGAATCTCAGTTGGCTGAAGAGTTGAGAATATTTTAAAGTAGCATGAACACATTCAAAACATTGTGTAAAAAAAGTAATCCTAATTGCATACAAAATCTGGTTTTATGTTTACAGGTTTAAAAGTAATTTCTTCAAAAAAGTCTGATTGATGACACAGTGATCATTAGTACATTAGTACAGCATGCTTGAATATGTTTTTCAAAGATAATTTTTCACACCATTTTCTTCATTTTATTTTACTTTAGGAAAACTAACCAAACATCTGAAAATCAAATTAGACAGCTTTTCATTTTGCATTAATATATATGTCAAAGTCTAAGATTTTTATACATTTAGATGTGATAAAATGTGACTATAGGATGATGTATATGCATATTTGCTCAAAACTAAGACATATTGTCATTGAAAGACTGTCAGTAATGAGCCTACTGTCACACATATTCAGTATGTATAACATCTCCCTGGAGAATTTAAAACAATCACTTAATCGTACTGAGATTCTCAAATACTCCATGGTAATGCAGTGAACCCACAGTTTCTATGTGTCCTAGGTATTCTGATACAAACTAAATTTGGCAGCATCACTCTTATGCAGTATTCATGTGTCAGCTTAGTCATACTGAAAAGCCATATACTGTTTCTCCCAGCTAATGACAAACAATAAACAGAAAGATGTTGACAAACTATTATGGTTAAAAAAGTTATGTGTTTACATACAACGTATAATCATTTTGACTGAGATTGTTGATTTACATTTGCAAAGTATTGGATACAATACCTCTGATCCAGCCTCTGATACAAATCTAAACACTTCATAAGATGTAAAAGTATTGTTAAAATCTTTCATTTGGCTCTGAGTAACATGATTATTTGCAAGAAAATGTAAAACAGGTGAAACTGAAATTAATTGATCATCTTCATCTTTATAAGTTCCAGATGAGCTGATCACCTTTATTTTTCTCATAGATAATGGAGAAAATGAACATGCAGACATTTATACAATTTATACAATGTGTATATATACACATTCACATATGCATATATAAGTATACACTGTATAATATAATGCACATATTACATCACAGTAGCTGCTCTAAATGTAGAACAAATTAATGGGCAAATCCTTTTATTTTACAGTGCTTCTGCAGCAGAACCAAGGCAGGCATTTCCTGTCTGGTCTGTAATTGTTGGTCTTAACAGTATTAATAAAATATTCATACAAGTGTTAACCCCTTAGACATAAATTTATTCTAAATTTCTAAATCCTATTATTCATCAGAATTTCCACAAATTGGCAAATCTATGTAAAACATTTCAATTAAAATGATAAAAATTATATTATGGAACAATATTCGCTCCCTCATATTTTTTTTCTGTAAATATAATATAATGTATATACTGTATATAATAAAATATATATAATTATATTTTTTAGGTCCTAGGATGAGTATATAATATTAAAACTGATTTATGATGTATGACACATTCATTTATAAAGCTGGCAAAAAAAAAAAAACTTTTAAGTGAAGATTAAAAATTGAAGCACCCAGGAGTGCTTGACTCTTTCTGTGTGGAATTGCTCAGTGAATAAAATCCCTTAATCCCAAACCACTTTGACTGGAGCACCAAAACAGCAGCTCAGGCAGTGGGAGGTACTGTACAAATTCAAAGGAAAAAATCAAGCATACTGAAATCACATGGAGCAGTTTCAGATACAATAGTGTAGTTAGAGGTAGAAAAGCCCTCTAGCATTGTGCTGCTGTGGACAACTTCGATTGTAGTGAGAGTAGGAAACCTATTTAGGTTATTAAGTGATATAAAATAGAAAACAGCACTGCCTTCTTTGAAGTGTAGAATGACGTTTGTTACTGTAACACTGTAGATTCGAATATTTTGTTAAATTTCTATGCCATGTTTTATATGTCCAGTTATATACTGTACATTTGGCATTATACAATGACTGAATTTCTAAGAATGCAATGTTTTGTTCCACTTTTCATGCATCTTGGTGTGTGCTGCTTTAAAACATTCCAAACCATTTTACATTCAAAAATATAAAACCCCCCATGATGCCTCTTTACAAAGTGAAGCCAGGATGATATTCCTGATATTCCTTGAGATGTTCATCCCCTGTTCCTGCAGGATATCACTTTCATCTACAAATACTGTATTTGATCAGTATTATGTCATAGAATACAGAATTAATATCTTATGTGAGCACTTAGAAGATTGCATATTACATATGCTTTTGCAGATTCTTTTATTGTTTTCACAGACAATTTTTCCAAATAATTTTAACCTTGATTATTTTATCTGTATACTGTATACAGCTTTCAGAACCTGTACTAATTATCACAAGAGCCTTTTGAAAATTTGGAACAAGCTGATTCTTTTAAAAACAGAGTTATAGTTAGGCAGATGAGAGAGGAGATAAAAATTCCCAAGTGTGACCAAAATGTTTACCTCTGGTACAAATTCTATTTAGTTTTGTTTTGTTTTATTGTAATAACTTTCCAAGCCTTTTATCATACAATGATTATTCTATAATTTTCAATGCCTTGAATACATTTTTTGTGGGCTGTTTGAAGTCAAGAGGATGTAAAATCATTTTAGATTACATTCTGTATAGACAATAGACAATGTTTTTTCATTGTATCCTTACATACAGTACACTCCTTATCTAACATTAATCAAAGTATAAGGTACAAGGTTTTAAACTGTATAATGTATGTCTTCTCAGTTAGGTACATGGATAAAAGAGAATGTTTAGAAATGTATAACATTTTTAAATTTCTCCCTTTTGTGGATGCCAACTAGATAAATAATTAACGTAAATCTTGGACTTTTGCTACCTGCACATTATTTTCATAAGCACTACATACTGTACATTCCTCAGGTTAAAGATGAGATCATAAGATGGCTTACTTACAAGAGGCCATTCAACCCATCTAGCTCATTTGGACAAAAATAAAGTCTGGCATGCTTAGAATCTGTACTCTGATCAAATTTACAGTTTCTTGCCCCAAGAATTCCTTCTTTCAGTCATGTGAATTATTTAGCTAAATGTTTGTTACCTTTTGATCTTACATTACTTCCCTTACTGTACTGTCATCAAAATGTACTTTAGTGTTTCGTATGAAGCATTATAACTAAGTGCTCTATCATAGCCTTCTGGGATTAATCCTGTCAAGCATTTGTAGTGTTACAGTAAGCATTACAAAATTGGATGGTGCACATTGCAGGGAGCTCATTAGTAAGATTATCAGTTGTACATAACATCCATTCATTCTGCAGTGTACTGCAAGCTTAAACTGAGTCACTACAGATCACTGACAGGTTTAAAATGCATCTTAATGATAACTTTGTCGACTTTGTCATGTGCAGGGTCATTATTTTTCTTCTTTTCCTTCTAAATACTACCAGATATTTAATACATGATTATGGATTGAGATACATTTGATTTGGAACTGTTTTTTTAAAAAAAGGATAAGTACTGTACTCAATATCATTCTAAGTTATACCCTAAAGTTGGTGTAAAACAATCAACATAACAAAAACAATCAGAAAAATAAATAAGAAAAATTAGATTAGATAACTAAAATCTTCTTGTGCAATAATAAGTGTGTAATAATTTAATTTCCATTTAAAGCATTGACTGTTTAGTTTTAGCATAATAAAGGGAGAATGATAAAAAAACAGTACTTTTCCCATAAAGGGAAACTACTGTACTATAGTTCGTCTTCATCTTAAACCACACTAGGCATGTTTCACTAGGCATTTTTCATTGTAACATGAAAATATGGGAAAATGTTGTAGTAAGTTAATAACAGAAAGTTGTAAGTTAGTGTAATGATATTTTAACCCCTTTGAAACTGTGCAACTGTTTCAAACTATGCAAAGTCTCCTAATCCCACTATCTGCATTTATCTGCATGAGTAATTAGTAAATGATTTACTCTATTTTGACACAAAATATAAAATCCATCTGCTTTAAATCTTTTAAATGAAACTCTTAGTGAAATAAAAATATGCTTATGCTCTTGGACCTCTCTGATAAAATACAAAAATACAATGCTAAATTATAAAGCAAGAATTAGTCAATTGAAGACTGCTTTAGTAGGTGGAGCTAATGGAGACAGTTCAATAAACAAATGCAAAACATAACCTTCAAAAAAGAAAAACACACCAAACAATTCCGAAAAGCCTTATGTACTGTATATATTTTGTATGTTGATTGAGATATTTTGACATGTTGTGTGTTTTCTGGTGAATGTTTTCTGCGGCTCTTTGAACATTGATAATGTACAGTAGACTGCATGAGATGCCTTAAGCCAACACTGTACTGTCAGTACTTAATGTATTGTTAGCATCCACTCTATAGAGTTTCTAATATACTTGACTTTGCATACACAATCACCACAGAAAGCATTTTGAAGTTTATGCATCTTTTATTAATGTGAGTTATGAAAAGTCATCACATCTTCTTTTAGTGTTTGGATGGTTGTATGTCAAACAACATTCTTAATGTCCTGTTGGTATTAGTTGTTTTTGCGCATTTTTGTGCTGGACTCTGCCATGAAACAACTTTCCTCCAGGGGATAATAAAGCTTGAATTGAAGTGAAATATTGAAAGTTTATCTGAATGTATGTGAAAAATATAGAGCTGCCTTGCAAATGGTTTCAGACCCTTCCTACTTTGTCCCATTTGTAGACAAAATGATTCATGTACATTTTTTTAAATTAATATTTTATTCAAATTCCGAATGCTTAAGCTCAAGATTTTTAAAGGTAAGATAAGTTGCAGTAAATGTCAGCAAAAACTAAAGGCCCACTTTCTGTGGCCATGGTTCTCTCCAAGAACATGTCAGGATTCCTGACATTGCCATACGTGCTGCTGTTGATGATGATTTGGCCATTTAGCCTCACAGTGCTGGACGTCTTAGCTGGGCCAACGTCTTTGGACTATTCTGTCACTAACTAGCCTGTTTTGACTTCTGATGACAGCATTTTTTGTAATGTTGGTCAGTTTAAACTAGTTGTGAAGGTGTTACAGCGTGAATTCATCAAATTCATCTAAAACATGCAAGACATAGTTTCTGAGTGAACATTAAAATGACGTAAACTAACTTCAACATTCCAGCATTCACTATTTTAAGTGCCTGATTCTTCTCAGCAGTGAGTCATGGCATCTCTCAGATGAGTGACAGACATCATTGATCTATTGACATTTCCTGACGTTTGTGCACTGTAGCATTTCATGTATGCCTGTCTCCAATTAATAAGTTATGCTGACAAAACCTTTTTCACATACAAAAATGTCCCCTAAATGAATATTTAATTCTGATTGGCAAACAGTGACCCGAGTATGTATTGCATGCTTTCTCCTTAATGGGATATCCCTATGCCGTCACAGTATGTCGGCATACTTTGTCCACATGTAACATTAGAAATAGAAAAGTATTGAATGTAGTGGTCATAATGAAATTAATACATTCTTTCAAATTGTTAAAAAACATGTGGAAGATTGTTAAGGAGTAGGCTGTGCTATCTTTAAAACATCTGCAGTACTTGACCTGGTTGATCTTTCTACATGTTACAGTCAATTCTGAGTTGTTAAAATTGATTTTGAGACATTTAACAGAGCATCTCTGCCTGTCTCTACCAATACTCATTACTTGTACTGGGAAATAGTTACAGCATATGCAAGCTGTCTCAAATACATGTTTCTTTGATTGTATTGGTTGTTTTCTTCTAATAATAATGTTATAATGTTTCTTTATTAGCCCTATACAATTTCTTGCATTAGGAATGCATCTTTTCACATACCCCAGCTCTGTGACACAGACACAGAGACAGGGAGAGAAGCTTGGGGTCAGAGCGCAGGGTCTGCCGTTGTACGGCACCCCTGGAGCAGTTAGGGTTAAGGGCCTTGCTCAGGGGCCCAACAGAGTAGGATTCCTTGGCCGCAGGATTTGAACCGGCAACCTTCCAGTCACAGGTGCAGATCCTTAGCCACAGAGCCACCGCTCCCCCCTATGACATTGGACTTCAATACTGATTGTATTATTTCTGTGTAGTAATGGAAAACTATATATGAGTCACAGAATCTGTATCTCTGAATATCAGGCTACACACATGTTGAAAAAGAGACAGAAAACAATGTGCTACCTTCCAGAAAACATCATTCATATATTAACACTGTCATTGCAAAAAGAGGCTCATGAGTTAAAAGCAAAGGAAAACAATAATTATGTAAATTTAAAGAATATCTTTGTATAGATGTGTAGATGATAATAAAACCCATTGTTGTATATCCTTTTCAGAGCCCAAAGAATAGATAAGAAACAAAAAACATTTTAAAATGTTACAAACAAAAGGCTTCAGCAAATAATTGCTAAGGTGGACATTGCTAACACTACCAAAAGTAAAAATAAATCATTCATAATAGAATGGCATCAAAAATAATGTATGTTTGTGTTTTTTTTTAAATAAAGCATAGGATTTGTAGCTATTGATTAAATGTTGTTGGTTTTATTTTTATTAATTGATCATTCATGACTGACCTTGATACACTTGAGTGACCTTGACTGTTGCATAAGCACTAAATTACCTCATTAGTGAGAGAGTAGATCTGCTCAATGTGATGATGTGATTTAACTTGTTGAGTGTCAGGCAAACAAGTTGAGTGTCAAGCAAATCTACTAGCTAGAATGTAACACATTATAGTCAATGTATATTTTAACTTTAAATTGTTAACTGTGATCTTTTTAATCCCTGAGTGACCATCAGTATTGCATATTACAGCAGACTGTTTCACAGATATATTCTCTTATGTTTGTTGTTCTTTTTGCATGTTTTGGTTGTACCAACAAATTGTATATTATATATATATTTAGAACCCGTTTGTGAGACTGTAAATTATTATGTGTGATGGGTTCTAAAAGTCATCAAGTACTCTCACAATTTACTGTTACAATTTCTGATTGTTACAGCAAATTAAAACCCCCATCTCCTACAGAGTGAAGTGCTAAAGATTGTGTAATCAAGAGAAATATTTGTGACAGAAGGTATTATAACTTTGATGCTAAAAATGTAATTTGAGTGCCTAACATTTCAATGCAGGGAAAAGGTAGTATAACATGCGTCCCTGTCATTGCAGGACTTCCTGGGCCAGGCATTCTGCACCCTCGGGGAAGTAGTAGGGTCCCTAGGGAGTCGCATGGAGAAACCTTTGGTGTAAGTAATGCCTTGTTCTCTGATTTTTAAATTTAAGCATGTGCATGAACCACCCCCCACCTCCATTTCAAACATATTGTCCCAATTTTAGAATTTCTTCTGTTGTGTTTCAAGTTAAGTAAATAATGCCCACCAACCATAATGCTGATGAAGTCTCATTCGCAATCACTGAAATCTCACTCTACTTAATTTCTAAGTTCTAAGTTTATTTCATGGATTTAGGTTGTTCTTGCAAAATATGGCCCAGTGGTAGAAATGTTATGGTGTGATGGTCAAATTTATAAATTTTAAAGCACCCAGAGTCTTCCAAGTGGTTTGTTTTTTTAAAAGAAAAATGGACAGTTTAGAAAATTACAGGCTAACAGTAAACTTAGGTTTGTACTGTAGTTCAGCTATCATGGAAGATTTGATTTGTTGAAATATAATGTTTGTGGGGTTCGACCCTGTGTAATAATTACAAACTCATAAAAGCTTAAAAAATAAATTATAAATTAGGAGCTTAGCTACAAGAAAGAATACCTTAAAATTTGAAAATTACCTTACATTTTCCAAACTAAAGGGAAAATTAATTTTTCAGCATGACTAAATTCTGGAATAAACTTTCTCAGTGTCAGAACAAAGTCATTTGTCATGGGAAATAGCGAGTTGAACCAAGAATGGAAAAAGCCTGCCATTAAAAAAAAAGTGTTGCTGCTGAGTTTTCATTTGAAAACTGAATGCAATTATTATTACATTTTAATGAGGCAGTTGTCTCTTGCAGTTCATTATGATCTTGCCACTAACTGACTACTCACTATGTCATGTCTTCTAAAGAGCTGTGCTTTTACCCTTGTTATTTTTATAGAACAATTGTCATTTGGGTTCAAGAAGTAATATTCCTTTCTAATAAACATTTTTATATCATTCTACCCTAAAGAATCTATTTCATAATAGAGTAGAACCTAATTTCGTGTTGCTTTGCAAATCAGTATGCCCTGAAAAACAGTATAGATACTTGTTTAATCTTTTCAATTTAAGTTGACTTTGTAAGATTATTTAAACTGGTATAAATGTTTACTCCTAGTTTAAATCTCATAAAGGTAAAAGAAGAAGCTCTGCTATTCTGCTTTAAATTAGCAATCCCCACTACATTTGGAGGATGGTATGAGAGGTCTACTGCTGAAGAATGAAAAGTTCTACAAATACTAACTTGACTGTCTTCAGACACAATCTCAAAGAAATACCTAGTTTCATTCTCTCTTACCTAGTAACATTCTTTCTCTCATATCTGTAGAATACAAAAGTGTGTTTTTAGTGGCCCAGACCTTACAGAAACAGAGTAGATGGCTCAAGAAATATAAATCTGAATCAACTGAATAGTAGATCTAATGTTTTACTGCTTTGTGCTGCCAACAGTGTGAATGTAGTCAAAAAGGACTGTGGTCTGTTTGTTTATTTTCACAATTAACACCAATTTTGATATAAATTCTTTCTGTTGATCATTCTCTGTGGTACTGAAAATTAAATATGGAACTAAAAGACTGAAGTACATTGAGTTTTCTGAGGCTCACATACAGCCACAGAACTATGAGACTAGGAAAAGGAAAAAAGGTTTAATCTATTTTAAGGAAAATAGATTCATTTGATGTAATTACTTCTAGCAAGGCCTTTAAATTATTGGTCTAATAGCTAATAGTAGTTTTTCTGCTGAAAATTAAATAATGATTATGGCTTATTATATAAAATAAAAGCAAACATACAGTAATACAAATACTCACAGCATTCCTTTATGAAGGGACCTCGCTCAGTTTCGAACGTATTATCGTATAAAAGGTATTACTTAAACTGTATTTGTTTGTTAATGACTCTCTGTACTCTACATAATGTGTGATTATAAGATTGACTAAAGATCCTGCATTATACAGTACATAGGATCTGATGTTTAAATGTCAGTCATGGGCCATGACATCAGTTCTGTCAGATGAGAAACACTGTTGTCTTACTGTATGTGTTGTGAGCTTTCTTTTATTAGTTTATGGGTTCAGCTCATCCCAGATAGTGTTTCCTGCTAAAATAAGCAAAGAAGCAGAACTGTGAGCTAATAAGATTAATGGAACAGGGTTACGTTAATTGCCTATTGATTTTTTTTTGCTTCAAATTCTGTTGTGTAAGCTACATATTGTTGCTACTTACCTTAACATAGTTGAAGCCTGAATATATATTTACTTAGAAATTGTGCAGATCCTTTAATTAAATTAGGATGCAATTCAACTGAAGATTGTTTGGCCTTTCACAGAAAAGCTTCATTTTCATCAAATAAAAAAATAATCTTGTGATCCAAAAACCAAAAACAAACTCCAGAACACAAAGAATAGCATTTCTATATAAATGCCAGAGCATCTTAGGTTAATTAGAATCCACTTCTTTAAATGTGCTGTTTGATTGGCAAATTTGATTTTTTAAATTTATCTCCAACTTTCTTAGATGATATTCTTAAGGTTAAAGATTTTTTAAACTATGTTACTTATACTTTGTAAATTCTGCTAGTCCACCTGCTTTGGGATCTATAAGATTAGTACAGTATAGCTTAAATGACGCCATCAGAGAGAAGCTATCACTTAGGGTCTCCATCACAGGACCTGGACAGTTTTCATTATTAAGTCTCAAAGACTTCAAGTAAGAAAATGATTTGTCTTAATTAGTCAAGGTTGTGAAGTTTAACCACTTATAGAAGAGAGTTGTTAAACCTGTGGATTAGGACCAGGTCTCGAGAGCAATGAATCAGTTATTGGACAAAGACCTTTCTTTGGTTGTCATGATTAACTAAACTATATACCAATATCACAGTGTTAAAGCACTGACCTTTTTCAGATGAGATCTTTGTGCCTGATATCTTTATATGGTAAATGTCGGTTTTTGTTCATGTGAAATATTATGGATAATTTACTTCAACACCCTTCCAACAACTTATGCTTTAATGAATCAGGATATAAATCAGTCTTTAAAATTATTAAACTCAATAATGTCTTTGCAATAAAATGATGCAAAAAATCAATATCGGATCATACTGACATTTTAGCAATATTTGGCTGTTCATGTGCCATCACTGCATAGTTTGTACCTGAAATCTCAGGGAGATAAACATCTTATGAGTTGAAATTTATTTTCCTCAGTTTTAAGATTACCTGAAATCTTCACATTTCTTAAATTGTGTGTGTTAAAAAATTCTGCCTAGCCGTGAGTGTGTGTTTGTGTGGGCTATGCGATGGACTGGTTTTCCATTCAGAGTGTTCCCATTCCCACCTTGCATTCACTGCTTGCAAAGGCTACGACTCTCTTGTGTCCCTGAATTGGGTGAAGCAGTTAAAAATGTGTGATCTCTAATTGTTTCATTACTTACTGAATTTTGAGCCAAGTCTGTGACGAATGTATAGATGGACTCTGGCATTTATTACCCAGTATAGTAAAATTAAATATACTGTAATGGTATTTGAGAATGTTATTCCTGGTGGAGCTGTATTCTGAGTTCAGAATAATCATTAGTTAATCAAATGTCACAGAATTACAATAGATGTATAATTTTAGGAATTGTACAAAAATTAGTAGTTTAGGGGTGCATTTAGATGCCTTTGGTTACTCAACTAACAAAACGAGCAGTTAGAAATTGTTGTATTTTGAAATACATTTCTGTATACATTCTTGCATTTTACTTGTATTGTTCTATAATGCTAAGATCTTGCATTAATCTAATGAGTTTCACTTTGCCATCACCACACAGTTATTCACCATTCATTTTGCAAAATAAATTTAATTTTAAAAAACAAATATGAAATTACAAAACCTGACAAAAACAAAAATAAATTGGAGCTCTAAAGAAAGAAAATTAGGGGATCAGGGGATTTAATCTAGTAAATTTTAAAGATGTCAGAATGCATGGTCTCATGCTGTCACTAATTTTGTGTTGGTAAAATGTGAACTACTGTAGCTATACGTCTTTCTGTATGAACAATTTCTGTAAATTAATGCACCCCAGTGCAATATAAAGGTATCTTAGCATGGACTCATCCTTGCAAAATATAATTTTTGGTTCCAGTTAGATCTGCACACAACCTGTGGCTGAATTTTGAGAATAACTGAGAATCGTTTACTAAGAATCATTACTAAGAAAGAGCAGTTGAGGGCTCAATGGCACATTCACACCTGACAGATCTGAAAGCATAGCTGTCACATGCACCTAAGAGTCTAATACTCCCAGATCTTGTGTAGATATGAGCTAGGTATATCCTGAATACATTGGTGAGTGGGATGGGAGCAAGTTCACTGTGGCATACATTCAATGCCTGTGTGCCTGTTCCATATCAAGGTAGCAAGGGAGCATAATCCACCACTTCAGGTAAAGTGTTTTTTTTTCAATTAGTAAGATGCATATTGGATGGTAGCAGGTACTGTAACTGAAGAGTGGGTTATTGTAGTATTTGTATTGGCTTCTGTACTGATGTTTTTGTAAAAATGTTAATAAAAAACAGGGGATGTGCGTGGGGGTGAGGTTTTTTTTAATTCATTTCCATGACAATACAGTACAGTAGGTGCATTGAAGACTGTGAAGTATCACCTGTCATTCCTTTCCCCATAAATTTCCATAAGAAAAACTGCTTTGTTTGGTAATGCTTGTTACAGTCCATAACAAGACAACAACATAGGAAGTTGGGATCTTTGGCTGTATTTATCCAAAATAATTTCCCTCATGCTTATTAAATAAAAAGTTACCCAAATAATTGGATATATATATATAGCAACTTTGATATAGTGAATGCTTAAAATGAGTATTTTCTGTTATTTGTTTGGAAAAGCAGAAAACTGTCTGCTGTCACAGCTGTGATTTACGATGTAAAAACCGACGTGGATCCATAGAGTACCTTTACTCTCTGCGTCTGCTGTCAGTGATTGACAAGAAGAGAATGTCAAAGCTTAGGATATCAGGGTGTCATAATGTTGTGATATCTTGTGGCAAATTCTGCTTG